TCAGTGTGCAGTGCTCTGCCCATGGTGGGACCCCCTGGAATCTCCAATACCAACAGCAGCCCTGGTGGACCCTGAGCAGAGACCAGTTGGATCTCAGAACTCTGCCTTCCAATAGCCTGAAACACCAAAACCCCATGCGGGGCATGTGTCGCTGGTCTGCTGCGCTCAATCTTGTGACTTGTGGGACTCAGAAGGTCATCTTGGTGGTGGGGTCATTGTTCCATGGGGGCCTTTGATCTAAATCATTTCCTTCATGTCTGGATTGGAGGGTGGTATGCCCCTCCTCTCATGAACTCTGCTCTGGGAAAATAAAAGGGCAGACAGAGGACAGCAGGCAGAGTAGAGAGCAGCAGAGACCGCCAAGGTAAAGTCCTTTCCCAGAGCCCCTGGCATCTGCTCATCACCCTGAAGCAGAGTGACCAAGCTTGTGACCTTAGTGACCTGGAGCACCAGACCCCAGACTCCCCGGCTGAACCTACTCTCCATTTCACGGGCCCTGGCTCCATTTGGACTCGATTCTCTGCTAACCCCAGTCCAGCCCTGTCTCCCAGCTGGACTCAAGCTGAATTCCTCGCCTCTTCCAGATGCTGAAGCCGCTGCTGCTGGTGCTGTCCCTCCTGGCCAGCCTGTTGCGTGCCGCCCCTCGTGAGTTGTGTCTTGAGCCCTCCCTGTCTCTCTCTCTCTCTGACCTTCACAGGCCACAGGCTATGGGAGAATGTGGAGGATCCCAGGGATAGTTGCTCCTGTACAGGGAGGAGCAAGCCAGGATGCTGAGGTTGTCCCCTTGTCCTTTTGCAGGCCCAGCTGAGCAGCGAGTAGGCATTGTGGGAGGACAGGAGGCATCTAGGAGCAAGTGGCCCTGGCAAGTGAGCCTGAGATTAAAGTCCAGCTACTGGATACATATCTGCGGAGGCTCCCTCATCCACCCACAGTGGGTGCTCACTGCGGCACACTGTGTGGGACCGTGAGTTTGCCTGGGCCTGACACGGGGGTGCGGAGTGGGGTGGGGGGTCAAGATTTCTCCCACAGTCCTCAGTGTTCAGAGCCTCCCAAACAGGGCTGTATTCTTCCAGGGACATCCAAAGCCCAGAGCTCCTCCGGGTGCAGCTTCGTGAGCAGCATTTATACTACGAGGACCAACTCCTGCCTGTGAACCGGATCATTGTGCACCCCAACTACTACTTGGTTCAGACTGGGGCAGATATTGCTCTGTTGGAGCTCAAGGACGCTGTGAATGTCTCCACCCATGTCCACCCCATATCCCTGCCTTCTGCCGCGGAGACCTTCCCTTCAGGGACATCATGCTGGGTGACAGGCTGGGGTGACATTAATAATGCTGGTATGTGTCAGGGATGGCTGCCAGCTAGTTGGGCAGGGACTAGATTTCACCCAGCCCCAACATTGGAGGGTGGACAGGGGTTCCCAAGGCTGGCCAGTCCCTGATGAGCTTCCCCCAAATGCTGCATCTCTTTCACCCCAGTGCCCCTCCCGCCGCCCTATCCCCTGAAGGAAGTGAAGGTGCCCATTGTGGAAAACAGCCTCTGTGATCAGAAGTACCATACTGGCCTCTACACAGGGGACAACATTCGCATTGTCCTTGATGACATGCTGTGTGCTGGAAGTCCTGGGAGTGGCATCTGCCAGGTGGGTCCTGTGTCCTCCCTGGTCCCCCACCCCATGCAGTCTCCATATGGAGTACTAGCCCCTGTCTTCCCCAGGGTGACCTAGGGGGGCCGCTGGTCTGCCAAGTCAAGGATGCCTGGCTGCAAGCAGGTGTGGCCAGCTGGGGTCTGGGCTGTGCACAGCCCAACCATCCTGGCATCTTCACCCGGGTGACGTACTACTTGGGATGGATCCACCACTACGTCCCTGAGAACTCCTGAGCTGCTTCCAGGTCAGAGGAGAACCAGGCCCTATTGTCTTGAACTGGATGCTTCCTGCCCAGGTGGAACCTCCACCTTCCTGTCCTTCTGCCTCCCCTGTCCCTCTGAGCCCCTGGCCACCCCCATCCC